CACACAAAATATATGTATGAATGAGTGTCGTAGTTGTTATGAACAGTCTGAAAGTGCCGCTCCACATTTCCCTTCTTCGGAATAGTGATGGTAGATTGGTAGATCAAGCAAACACATTTTGAATATAACGTCGTGAAAAAAAAGTCCTCCTCCCATTCTGCATGGAATGTTTTCGGTACATTTTCGGTTTCTTACTTGATTCGGCTCCCCCACTCATTTTATACCCTTTAATTTGAAGGCTAACAAGGTAGTTCGCTCACTGGAGTTTTGCAGTAGCTCGTGCGGTTGACTGTGCATGCTTGGTGACTTGTGTGTCAGAAAAGACAAGATCTCAGACTGGCTGCCCTGCATGTCAATCAAGTAGCAAATGCCATAGGGAGGATGGATGATAGGCTATATATGAATGATTGTTACTTTCGGCTTTACGCATTAGGGGTCGTCACAGCGAATCGTCACACTGACCATTCGCATGTTATCATTTGGCACGTGTTTTACGCCGGATACATCTAATTTATTTTTGAATGGCACGTGATCTACCAACACTACCTTTGCGATTGACCGGTCGATCGTGATCGACATATTGGGCACCCCTGATCTAAGGGAACTGTGAGGGAGGTTGTAGTGGTCTGGCTAGTAATTGTAGGAGGTGGTAGTTCGATCCCTGTCTAATGCTTTCCACATGTTTGACGTGTCTTTGAGCGGCACACTGAATCCCAGATTGCTCCCAGTTCATTAGTAAATGATAAGGATAAGGATAATCACCTTTATTGGCCAAGTATGTTACACACAAGGAATATGTTTCCAGTACAGAACCGATGGCAGCCATTTGCGGCGCCAACTCAACCGACGGCTCTAACCATCGGGGGCAACGGGGTTCAGTGTCTTGCCCAAGGACACTTTGACACGTGGACTGAAGGCACCGAGATTTGAACCTTCAACCGTCTGGTTGGGAGACGACAGCTCTACCCACTGTCACCTCCAAGTGGAAGAACATTTATGTGGAAACTGTTTACAGACTGTGTCTAGAATGTCAATTTGTTCTCAGTAGTGATGAGTTGCAAGGAGTGATGCAGCCATAAAGAATAAAAGGCAGGGAGGGAAGAGATTGGGGTGAGGTGTCAGGCCTTCAGGGGCATAATCATCATCACCCATTCAGCCCCCTGCCACCTGACTGAAACCTTACACTCAGCCACCAAAGATCCCAGTGGTACTTACTGCTTTTCCTTCTCTGCTTCTTCACACCAAAGATAAAATTTGAGAGGATGACGAAGATGAGATGCTGGCCATACTTGTAATTTAACAGTCAAGGCCAGTTTTTCATGACGTGCGTTTCAGAGATTCACAGAGACAGTCGAGTTCCAGTAAGTTGTGTTAATGACATCAGTGGCTTTTGAATAAGGATTACCTGTTTTGGTCTTTAGAGCATGAATCAAAGCATGAATGAATGAACTTCTGTGAGCCAGATGATGCTTCTGTAGCATGTAACTAGGGCATTTTTCAATTGAAGTCTCCCATCAGATAGACTTTGCTTCCCCTAACTGCATCACCATTGGATCATGCTGCTAGTTGTACGGGCCACGCCCACTCAAAGTACCCAGTAGCATGTGTACTTAAACATGTGAGAGCAAACAAGGAAACGGTGAGGTCAACGTGTGCCTGGGTTCCCTTTCAAATGACAATATTCACTTGCAGGTCACGGTGCTGTCAGTAAATGGTCTTGTACTGTATTAAGCACTTTTCTATGCAGTGAAGCACACTCAAAGCACATTTACACTATTTTCCATTCACCCATTTGTGTACACAAGTGTTCACATGCTGCACCATCAGCATGTATGTCTTGCCCAAGGCCACTTTGACATGTGAATTGGAGAAGCTGGGATTCGAACCGCCAACCCTCTGGTTAGGAGACCTCCTGAGCCACGGCTTCCCTTTGTCAGTCAGAGGTTGCATTTGTAGTGGAAGTCAGGACAGAAAACCAACAGCCCCTTTACTCACAGAACGATAAATCATTGTCAGATTGATTTGGCACAATGAGGGCAAAAGGTATCCGAGTTGCACAGTGTAACCTTACCAGCATCATTGTTTGGTGTCACGATTATCTGATAGTTGTGTAAAAGATAGTGAAGCTGCTTTCAGGTCCAATAGGTCAAGTCTTTTCTCCCTCTGCTCCATTTAGATCCGCCTAATTAGATGCAATGTAATGTAATTTGACTACTGTGGAAGAATTGTGTTAGGAATCGAATCCAGCTGTGATTGTGTCAAAATCCCATCTCTGCTTAGTCTATCAGTCAGGGCATCATCTGAGGTTTTGAGTGGCGTTCATGGTCTGCTGCAGGTGCACTGCCTCTCCTCATGGTGCTAGGCTGTGGGCTGCCAGAAAAGCACTGGAGTTTTGAATTGTAAATATTGTGTGTATGGTGTGTTTTGAAAACCTGCCGATGAGTATTCTGGTTTAAATATGGTGTCCTTAGGTACACTCAGTAAGCCTTACTTAGAGCTAGTTGATGTTTATTTTGCTGTTGCAACTTACTTTTGTGGTGGAGTTATAGCCTAGTTCTCTGGAAAGATTTTTTCAGTTATACTGTGTTGCATTATCGGCGCCCAGTCATAGTTGGTTTTACCTACGCTACAATGTCGCATCACTTTGAAATCGCAAGAACCCAATCCACATCGCAACAGGGTGTGAAGGTGCTGCTGTTGTGAGGGAGTGACTGTGTGTGTTCACTAGTCATGCATAACATCTGGGTGGAAGAATTAGGTTTGCATGTGTGGTCTACATCCGTGTATACTGAATATATGTTATACTTGTTTGTAGGCTGGTATGAACAGAGGAAGCCTGTCACATGCATAGAATGGTGGAATCGCAGAAGATTCTTGTTTGTGTTTGTTCATTTATCTGGGAGTGTTCAAGAGAGATTTTATTTGCAACCTAGTAGTTAGGATTAACAGACCCTTTTAAAGTGAAATATTGCAGATGTCCACTGAGTGCAGGATAACATTA